CAAGTGGTCGGGTCTGTGTGTACTATCTGCTGGCACCGGGACCATGCACGGTGCGGAGAGGAAGGCCCGAGAGAGCTCGAGCCGGGTTATCAAAGGGTAAAGAAGGGCTGTGACGACGGAGGCCAGTGAGAGTCCCGGAGGCCAGCAGCAGCGAGGGAGAGAAGCCAGCGAGTGCCAGAAGGTACACTAGACTCCCGTGCAGACCACACGGGCTGTTTTGGAAGCTGGAGTTGAGCCTGTCGGTGGCCCCAGTTAGAAATAACAAGCTGTCACACAGACCAGTTTCCTGCCTCGCTCAGTCCACAACCTCCCCAGCCCAGGCCCCATCCCAGAACCAAGTTCCATCAACTGCAGAGAAGAATATGACGGCCCCACCCCACCCCCCAGCGCCCCCAAGGCCCCGGTGGGACACACCGCTCAGCCCCCGTGCACGCCGGGCCGTGCTTGCGTGGCTGCTTGCGTGGCTGCTTGCGTGGCGGGGCCGCGGGCTGGGTGAAGGGAGGTGATTCTGCTGGAGACATGTCAAGAATGCAGAGCAGATAAGGGCGCAGATGAGCTGCCCAGTCAAGAATCCCAGACCTGTAAGTCAACTGCGGCAAAGCCCAGCTTGCGTCCCGCCAGGCTCCTCCGACCCGCCGGCCCTTCGCCCACCCGCGCCTCCGTTCCCCTCCCATACTTCAGGATCCCAGGCCGCCCCAGGCAGGGAGGGCCGGCACCACTGGGAACCTGGAGAGGCGGCGGGAGGGTAAAAGCCCAGGGAGGCGGAGGCTTAGGAGCGAGGCCCGGGGCGCGGGAGCCGTCCGCCTGCGCTGTCTCGGCGGCAGCTCCGGTGAGGGCAGCCGCAGCGCCCCTGTCACGCAGGAAGGCTGGGCTCAAGCTCACGCAGCCGCGCAGGGAGCCTCGGGCCCACCGCCAATGAGTCCCGAGCGCAGGCCCTGCAGTCGGGGAGGCCCCGCCGGGACCCCGCAGTCCCACTCTCACCCATGCTGACACCAGCGGCCTGAAGCTGCCTCCCCAGGGCGCCCGTGCCACATTCTCAGCCTCTCCAGCAACAAGCCCCTGAAGGCAGTGGTTGCCACATGTCCAAGTTACTTCCAGACAGCACCACTTATCTCTATGAAACGGCCAGAAGGAAAAAAAAGGGAAAGGCCATTCTTTGGATATTTTGATAATTCCAGCTACTTAGTAAGATATAGACCTATTATAGTCTAGGCTGTGAAGAGGAGGTTTCTGATTAAAAGATACCAAAATAAAGATGAGCCTCCTTCCTGTCTTTGTAGACATCAGAAACCTAAACATATGGCATGAAAACCGACAGGGGTCACCCCCGGGGAGACAGCGACCAGGTGGGGCGGGGCTGGCCAGGAGCAAGGGGCCGGCGGGGAAGGCAGAGTGCAGGCCGACTGGAGGGCTGGGGCACCCATGCCACGACGCTGCCACGCCCCCCCGCCTCACAGGGCCACGGGGGTCCTCCCAGCACCACGACACCTTCCCCAAGAGGGAAGCGCAGAAGCGATTTTTGGGAACGCCGGCACAACAGGAGAGACCCGAGAAGGGCGACTTGCTGGGAGTTAGGCGCAGATCTGCCGAGTGCAGGCCTCGGTCCCCTTGGGAGAGTGGCTCAACGTCCCTTACCTCGCTGACCCACCAACAAGGACACAAGAGGGCCAGGGCGCAGAGCCGCCGTGCCAGGCCCAGGTGAGCGGGAGCTCCGAGAAGGCGGCCTGGCACCGCCAGCCCCGCGGGCACTCCTGCCCCCCCACTTCTGACACCACCACCTCCCCAGCGTGCTCAAGTGGGTTTGCACACATACATGTGCACACACAGCCAGGCACACGCGCACACACACCGTCACGGGCGTAGAACAGGGCCTTGTCCAGACTCTGGGAACGGACAGCCCCAGAGAAACACGCTGTGTGCCAACATTCGGCGGGTGCAACCAGGGCTGGCTCTCCCCGGGGTTATTCCACGACTCGCCGCACACACGCTCACAGAGAGGTTCCCGTTCTATCAGGCACTGTGTTTAAACAGCTTACAACATGCCAGAGTATCTAGGGTAAAAAGCAGATGCCAGAACTCCCAGGTACTTTTCACGTCTACCTGAAAACTACCTAGAGGATAGCCAGTGTCACTGAGCCCCCAACACGGCAGCTGCCAGGCACGGCTCTCAGTGCCTTGCAAATATTAACGCCCGGAGTCCTCCCCGCAAGCCCCACAGGAGAAAACTACTACTCAGAAACCGCAACTCACATCAGAAGACCCGAATCAAGAAAATAAATGCACTGAAAACCTGGGATTACACAGAGTCCAGCTCAGGCCCTGCGCTCCCACACAGAGTAACTCCGCCGACGCCAAGAGAGTAACTCCGCCGGCGCCAAGACCTCGGAAACTACCTTCAGAACCTGGCGAACCACCCTGGGAAACAGCCGCCGGCTAGCAACTACGGGGGACCGCGGCATGAAGATACTTTCCACACTGGACGGTGCGTGAAGCCGCTCAGGCTTCTGCGCGTGGCTGGGCGGCCTCGCCCGCGGGAGGTGGACACCAGGTGGGCGTGTGTGAGCGGGCGCAGCGGGGGCTGGGGGCCGGGGGCCGTAAGGGCTGGGGGTGGTAAGTGTTGGGATGGTAAGGGCTGGGGCCGTAAGGGCTGGGGGTGTAAGGGCTGGGGGCGGTAGGGGGGGCCGTAAGGGCTGGGGCCAGTTGCGGACAGGGCGGCACAGTGGTAGTAGTGGAGGCAGCCAGAGCCCAGAAGGGCTAGGGCTCCCTGAGGACGGGAGGCTACCAGCCTCCCGCCCCCCCCCCCACGCCCCCCCCCCCACATTCCCGCACCTGGCTGCCGCACCTCAGACGGGGAAGAAGGATCAGCAGCGCCCGAAAAGCCGCTGAGGGCTCCGGGGCCCGCCCCCCCCCCCCTGCCTGCGGGCTGCCCGCACGACGAGCATGCAAGTTCTAACACCGAGGGCTGGAAAATTCTTAGAAACATAGGGGAGATGGTGCCCCCAAAGCAGCCTGCCGGCTGGTCTGGAGCACCCACTGAGATGGACAGGACAGAGGGGCGGGGAGCGAGACCCGTCGCCGAGGGGAAGCCGGGCCTGGAGGCGGCCAGCAGGAGACACGTGCAGCCGGCAGCGGGTCGCTGGGCTCAAAGCCAACCTGAGAGGCCGCCGGGAACACACCGGGGCCCTCCGACGCTTACAGACGCAGTGGAGGTCAGCGAGGTGGGGCAGCGTGGGCCCTTGGAAAGGGAGGGACAGCAGCACCCCAATTCCTGGGGGCCGAGAGCCAAGCACACCGAGACCCGGGGCCCAGGGGCAGCGGGCGGCAGCGGCGAGCGGCAGGGCAGGCGCGGGAGGGCCCACGGAGTAAAGGAAATCAAAGCAGCCGGCACGTGCAGAAGCCACGAGGCGAGAGCGAGTGCGGCGGGTGGACGGTGAAGCCAGCGCTGCCCGACAATGCGCAGTCTGCGGAGGCGGGGCCAGAGGAGGCGGGGCCAGATGGGGCGGGGCCAGATGGGGCGGGGCCAGTGGGCGTCCCCGCCTACGCCCCCAGGCTGCCTCCCTT